TTTAAATGCGCGAGAATTTTCTGGTATTTTCTCGAAATCCAAAAGATATATTTATTTATTAAATGTTAAATGCACGTGCTCTTGTATTTTTAATTTTCCGGCTTAGCTTGCTCATAATATTCGTCACGCGCTGCACTGCACGGGGAATAAAACAATTTAGTTTATAATTCTACTAACATTAGCTATATATATATATATATATATATATATATATAATATATATATATATATATATCTATATATATATATATTGTTGCGTACGTACGGGTTTCGTTATGAATTGAATGCACAAGTCCGATGAAAAAATGAACAAAATTTATTACTATCACAACAAAAATGCTTAAATTCGTGCAGTATTACAATATCTCTCAGTAGTTATCTTTTAACTACTCAAACGTTCAAGATAACTTAATTCAAAACAGATAGAGAAAGCTAATCCGCGAATTCGCTACAGTAAACAAGAGCAGTTTTCTAAATAAACTCTTAAGACAACAACAAACTAACGAATTGAGAGAGGTTTTCATGCCGCTTATAGAAGCTTTTTAAATGCGCGAGAATTTCTGGTATTTTCTCGAAATCCAAAAGATATATTTATTTATTAAATGTTAAATGCACGTGCTCTTGTATTTTTAATTTCCGGCTTAGCTTGCTCATAATATTCATCACGCGCTGCACTGCACGGGGAATAAAACAATTTAGTTTATAATTCTACTAACATTAGCTATTTAAATATCAAATCCGTAACCTTATATATAGGTTAGGTTTAAACAATTTCTTCTCCAGGTAAGGAATTACCAAATGGAGTAGATTAAAATTTAATGAATCTTCAAATACCTAAACTGAAAACTATACAAAATAAAATTAAAAAAAAATTATGAATCTACTCTGTTTAATGCTTCAAACAGAACTTGTCAAAGGAAAAGTGTTTTGAAGCCTTAAACCAAGTTGATTAACGAGTACCGAATACATGTTTTGTTCCACTGAACCATTTGAGACTCAGAACTGCTTTATTAGAATATAACTCTCTATATACATGAGAGCTAAATTAATAAAGTGGTCAATAGTGCATTTTACAAAAATTACGAATGAACTCTGAAATTAAAAATTAGTGCCTAGTGCAGCTAAATTTTATAAATGAATCTTAAAAATTTAGGATTAAAAAAATATATATTTATTATTATTATTATTTTGTTTCTTTTTACAGTGCGTTTCTGAAAATAAGGATAGGTTGCCTTCAAGTATTCTTGCGGCTTTTTCTAGGTATTTCAATCCTAACTTTTTAATATATATGTATACAAATGAAAATTTAGCGCAAGATAATCGCCTAGATGGGATAATTGAACAAGGAGCACATTTTTGGATAATTAGTTCTTTTCAATGAACTGCCATAGAGCGTACGAAGGTGATTAAAATGAAAACCTTAATTATTTATTAAAAGGCAAATGAGGAAATACATTACAATTGCGCACCATCGTTTTTCGTCGTAGTCCGCAAGACATGCAACGTGCTTATTCCTGCGCTTCGTAAGTGCAAGGATATCTTGAGAGAAGAATTCATTAGGTTGTGACTGTAGCCACTCGTGCACGGCAGTCTTCCTCGCTCCGGAAATCCTTGCCTCTCAAAGTTTTTTTGAGCCGTTCGAACACGTAAAATTCACGGCGGATGAGATCTGGTGAATACAATGGTCATGACCAGTCAAATTTTATATCCTGGATTGTTGCAATCGTTAACCAAGCAATATGATCTTGGGCATTATCATGCAATACATCTGGAGCCCTCGTCTATTTCTGATTTCAGAGCGAAGATGATTTTGATGCAGATCATTGTTACTGCTTTTTTTTTTTTTTTTTTTTTTTTTTTTGTACTAGTCACTGTTACTCATTTTTCATGTAAAACTCCAAAATTATCCCCATTTGCATCCAAATATCAGTTATGGCGCCTTATTTACTCGATCTCTTTGTTCAGTTTGGTGACTGAGCACTTAGGCTTCATCCCCTGCAACAATTCTTCCCAGAAATTTATCACCTTGGACCTGAAATCAAAGCAAAAGTTCTTTACAGGCATCGACGCGATGGTCTGTAAATTCAGCAATTATGTAACGTGGCATTTATTTCCTCGACACTTTACTGAATAGCAGCATATCATGGTCAATACTTGCTGAACCGGCACTAATATCCAAAACGTGGGTTTGAATTTTAATTGGTTTAACACCTTCGGAAAAGATGTCATAGATCGCTGCTCTAACACAGTGCGTGTTGACAATGAGGCAGCCATATTTGCACTGCATCTACTTCCTTCTTCATTGCTGCTGTATCATCATGTCACCTGTTGAACATTTTTTTGAACCACAAAGATAACTCCTGAAAACTTCAAAAATCAATCGAATAGTTTTCGGAACTTGCACTTTTAAAGATTTCAGTTGAGTCAGCCATAGAGAAACTTATTTATATTGAAGCAAACACCAGAAGCCAAGCATACCCGTTTGGTATACATTTATTTTCTTTTGTTAGTTTCGGTCTAAATTACACAAATAAATAAACACTATATTGGTTCTCAGTGCAAAATATTCCGCCACATTTCTTCAAATATATATTTTGAGCTTACGTTTTCAAAATTAATTTTAATTGCAAACTTAATAATACATAACTTTAAAGACAATTTTACACAGAATTTGAAACTTTTCACCGTTTCGAACTAAAATAATTTGAAACAGCAATTTTAATAGTTATTAAAGAAAATGTAGCTCATAAAAAGGATAATTAACCAATAAAGAATCGAGACTGCTATTTCAATCTACTATAGCTCCCGCTCCTACGTTAGAGTTCGGCCTAAAGAATGAATATTGCTTTAAATTGACGTTGTTACTTCTGTGCTGCAATTTTGAATTTCATTTATGTTAACTTATTTATGTTTTAAAGAATGTCCCTTGTAACCAAAACAGTTATGTATGCTGAAATTGTTATTTTGCATAATGACGGATCAGCTTGCCGTCAAATTGCGTGAAATGAAGTTTTCATCATTCGACAGTTAGTAAAATCATTAATAACTTCAGTTTAACCGAAAGTTTCGAAGATTGGCACAGAAAGAAAAGGACAATGAAAAGTACGACAAAACGGTCGAAGTCTTATTCGTTTGTCTTTAAAAGATCATTTTTATAGTAGTGAAAATTTGAGGCACAAAAGACAGATAAGATGATTAGTTCATGTTTCCAGGTGAACTGTAAATCGGAGCCAATGAAAATGGCTTAAAAACCCATAATCTTCAGGAGAAACCATTTCTTAATGAAAACTAGAGGCTTAAACGACTACAATGGGCAAGTGATCACGCACGACGGATTGTGATTCGATGGTGTAAAGTTAAATGGAGTGATGAAGCAACACTTTGTTTTAAAGCAATAAAGGGGTCACATTTCTAATGAGAGATTTAAATCATATTCCTCTACACAAACTGAAAAGCAGTCTACTTGCAGTTCTGATAGGAGACTGCATTTAAGCACGTGAAGTGTGTCCACTTCACGTGGCAGGAAGAAAAATCAGGGCGGTCCAGTACATTAATGTGCTTGAAAGAAAACGTTTCCCTCAGCTATTATTGTTTAAATGTTTCAAAACAATGTTTATATCTTTCAGGGTGATAATATACTATGCCATCCAACATGAACTGAGGGTTTTCTAAATCATTTCGAAAACTGCAGTGGCCTGGCCAATCTCTAGATTTCAATCCAATTTAATTGACATGATTTTTGGATTTTGGATGATATTTGAATACCGAAACATAAAGTCAGTTTAAAGAATCCAAGCAACAAAACAGAATCAAATGAAGCTATAACTTCATGCTGGTATGATCTAATTCCAATGAATGACCTTGACAAATCTGTCAGCAGTACACCCAAGCAATGTAAGTTAATAATTAAAAACAAACTTTTCCAATTAAATGTTAATAATCTGTACAACTTGAAACATACTTCAAATATACTGATTAATGCAAAATGTCTAATATTTTGGTAACTTTAGCACATTACTTATAATACATTACTTATAGTTTACAAGAGAAAATGCGTTTATATTAGCTTTACAGATTTGAAACTCGTTTACATTAGTTCTTTCCATTTTATTGTGCATAATATTTAAAATAATGCTGTTATTTTCAGTCTTTAAAGCTTTTTTTCTAACTCAATATAGAATTGCTATTAAACTGATATATTATTTATTAACGTTAGCATTTAAACTGATTTTTAAATTTTCGTTAGACGCCCAAAATGAATGTTTTTATGAAGTGTTCCAGAGCTTTACACGACGTCGTAATTCAAAGTTAAAGGATACTAGCAATCTTCGTACATTATATAGAAATAACGAAAATAGATGCTTATTACTGAATACAGAACGCAGATAAGCAAAAGGAAGATGAATTTCCATCGGAATTTTTGACCGTATAATGTATAACAGTCCTCTTCGCATACATTAATGTTTCACTTACACTTGCTCTCACTTTCATCTGGGGGGGGGGGAGAAATGTAAACGTTTTTAACACTTTAGAAGTCAGAATTACATGGCATAAAAACTTAAATTAGATTTCTCTTATGTTTTCATGCTTTATATCAGTTTTTTAACTGCTACATAAATCAGCTTTACGGCCTTAACTGTCACACAGATCAATTTTACTAATCTCGATAAAATTTAGAAATATAATTTTTAACATGCAGTTTAAGACCATTTTCAATATTCTTTTCCCGCGGGAAAAATGTCCAATTTTGGATTTAAAAGGAAGCTACATATCGCATTTATGTACTTAGTTCTAAGAACCAACTTTGAATAAATTAGAAGTAAAATACTTTTTCAGCAAACTTTATTTAAATTTGCGACAACATCAGCGTATTTTTATAAAAAGAAGTGACAACAATGTACTTAAATGATATGTTCCCTCGATTTATCATCTCGATCTGATCATCATATCTGTGAAGAGCAGAGATTCCAATCATATTAAGATAATAAAATTCAACTTACGCTTGCTCTTGCGTATGCAAATCCTGAACAAGTTCATCTCTCTTGTTTACAATAACCACAAGTTCTTCCAGCAGGCGCTGCTCTCGGGCTTTATCCACTTCTGTTTTTTGCCAGTCTGCAATAATCAAAGAGAAAAAAGTCAAGAGAAAGATTTTTAACACATCAACAACGCATAACACAAATCGAATGAAATATCCAGGGCTGATAGTGCGCGCGACACCGTATTATGCCCATTAAAATATACGGTAACAGAACACTAGGGCGAGAAAAGAAATCAAATGAGAGCTTCAGTGTCGAATTATTTCACGAAATCTTTCGGTATAACAACAGCTAAAAAGGATGGAAAAAGCGATGCAGCCTGAAAAAATAAATATAGTTTGAAACTAATTGGCTACTCTGCTAAGTTGCTAACAAGCAGTAATGCATTATTTGCGAAAAGCTCAAATGGTGAATTGCCGCTCTTTAACTTCTATTAGTGCCAGCGAAGGAGACAACAGAAAGAAAGAAAACGGGCGCAATTATTCATTAAAAGCGAAACGCGCCTGAGAGTCAATATTCAGCAGTAATGAGCTACATCTTTACAGAACCCATCGCGAGCCAAACAATTAATGCGTACTAAAGAATAACAAACGGCCCTTTTATCGGAGCATACATAATACATGAGCCAAAATATGTTCCGGGTCACAAACAGCGCACGCATTAACATACAGAGGATAATAATGGGAAGCGCATGGTGATACAAATAACGCAGTTTCTTTCCAAATCTCTAGCGCAAAATACTAACATTGAAAATACTTATATAGCAGAAGAGCGAAGAAAAGTTAAGAAGTGAAACTTCTAATCACTTCCATCAAACTGAAGGTCTGCAGCATAACTTGCCAATAGTAGTTTGGGTCTTTGGCTTCAGTTTTTGGTCGGCTAATGAAGAAGAAACTCGGCATTTGACATGAATAGGATGTTCCTCCCTCATTAGTAGTTTAATCTATAAAATGATTACAAAACAGCACCAAACAGTACCTTGAGAGTGGCATTTATTTCCTAAGAGCTGATTATTTAATAATGGCAAAGCAATCACAAGCTTATCATTGTGGCTTGATGGTACTCCAATATAATTCAAGAAAAGTGAAGCTAACAGAAAGAAGCATGTGTATGAATAGAATACACATTATTCAACCCAATAAAAAATACAAATCAGAAGTAAATTGCTATGATGTTCAATACGCTGAATGGTATTCAAGAAATTTTGAACGATCACCAAGAAATCACAAAGTGTGTACTTTTAATAATGCTCAGTGTTCACAGTGCATAATTTCTAGCCTAGTTCTGGGGTGTCTGCTCAGTTAAGCCTGGCTGGTGGTTTAATTGATTATGCCAAAGCTCGAGAGAGGGATACCGGCTTTGAAAGCTTGCTTTTAGGAAGGTCCTTTTGTACAAACAATATCTATCTGTCTATCTATATACAGGGTGATTGTGAATTGTTTTTACAAATTAAAAGGGGTGATAGTACCCATCCAGACGAGCAATAATTACCATAGGGTCGCATTCCACTCTGAGAGGCAGAAAAGAAGACGATCAGAATTCCAACCTGAACTTACAACAGTGTTGGGAAAGCGAATGAACGAGACCAAAAGTTGCGCAATCAGATTTATTGTTTACTGAAAAACTCACAGAAAGTGCTCAAAATGCCGACAACTCGCTCTTCCATTTTTGGCGTTCGTACATTTCGCGAACGTCCTGCATTGCTTTTTGAGATGGCAAAAGAACTGGTTTCTAGCATTCTTCGATCAAAACTGGAAAAGGTTGGATGACTTGTAATCCGACGAGTGGAAACCACTGTTCGTACAATCTTCGTGCTTCGCGTCCATCCCCTTTTGCTTCACCGTATGTGAGGTGAATATCTGCCAATTCCTCATACGTGTACTCCGCCAGAGCATTCACGAAAAGTTTCGGACGATGTTACTAAGGTAATACTTGAAGAGATGATGTTGCGCCGTTTTTTCAAGGACACCGTTTGCTCTGATTGGCTTTCTCCGGTACCAATTAAGAGCAAAATGCTGCTTCTTCACAGTGCAAATTTGCATACGGTTAATTCTTGTTAGTCCTTAGGAGATACTCTCCTTGTTCTTCCTCGATGCATTTGTAATTTCCTCATTTCTGCCTCTCAGTGTGGAATGCGACCCTATTTTCTATGGTAATTACTGCTAGTCTGGATGGGTACTATCACCCCTCTTAATTTATAAAAGCAATTTAGAATCATCCTGTATATATATATATATACATATGGCAATTTTTAGACTAAACGCAGCATACAAAAAGTGTCCAGATTTTCTATATTTTAAAATCAGTATATTCCTCCATCTTCATATACAATAATCGGGGCAATACTTTAAAACATATTACCTGTATTAATCGATATTATAAACATAGCATAACAGAAATATTCTCAATTGAAGTTCCATGAAAAGGATAATACGTACTATTTTTTCTGCAAAATGATTAAACGTACAACTGTGAATTTTTCATTTCTTATTTAGCAACTTTTAAAAATCTTGTTTTCGAATATTCGACTTAAAAAAGTATAATACTGCTAGACTTCAGACTTGGGCTAAGCCGACGGTGAACACAACCGCGGGTCTTCTAGTGGCAAAACAAAAGTCACCGGAATCTCTTTAGTTTCGATATTTTACTATTCTTTACATATTAATTTACAAAATTATTATTCCTTGAAAATTATAATATAAATATAGCTTCAAATGCTAATTCAGTTAAGAAATTAACAAATTAAATTCTTAAAACATAAGACATAAACATAAACTTCTCCTCTTTTTACATAAGACAGAAAAAAGAAACATCAAGGAAATAATATTTCTCTAATAGTTGAGGACTAATTAATTAAACACCTGGTAATTTAACCACTCCTTCCATTGCAATCGGAAAAAATGCTGATAGAGCATATAAGTTTGCACTTATTTCCAGCTCTATAAAACAAATTTAGAGCATAAAATTAACTTTTATGCCATAATTTTAAAGTAACCTAAGAACTATGCCTATTTTTTTTCAATGATTTAACGAAGTCTAATTGCTATCTTAAGTTCAGCATATTTCTAATTTTAATTCTACTTTAGATTATTTAAAATTTGCGCGACTGAAAATGCATACAGATAGGTAAATATATAAGATATTTTCTCCCTCCTTCGTGGTGTAACAGTAGCACACTCGGCGCGTATTTCAAGAGGTCCACGTTCGAGTCCCGGAGAGGGCACTGCTTATTTTTCACATCTCCTGCTTCATAATGACTCCACAGTGACGCCCAAACTAAAAAGTGGTGAACAATAATCGTCACCAACAGGATTTGGCGATTGGGTCCCTTAATCCCAAGTCGCCCTTTGATGTCGATGGAGTATATAAGTCATTTTCTCCCTCCTTCCAGCATGCCTTCGTGGTGTAACGGTATAGCACACTCGTCGCGTATTCGAGAGTCCAGGATCGAGTCCCGAAGAGGGCACTGCTTGTTTTTCACGTCTCCTGCTTCAAGAAAACCTAATGACTCTACAAATAGTCGAGACAAAGAAAGGAGTTTCTCATTAACTAATTTAAACATACAGTTTATTAAATTTGTAAATTTAGAGAAAGAGGAAAAATAATCTTGCACAAAGGCAAAATTTAGCAAAGTTTGACTAGTTTCACACTATCGTCTACTTCATTTGATTTCTTTCAAAATATGCGTTCAGTTTTCTTGAATTGTGACTGCTTCTTTAGTTTTGATGACTAATATTCGTTCAGAGGCCGAAATGGCAAAGATTTATTTTATTTAAAAGCTAACAAGAGGGATCTCACAATCAAAAATTTCTTTAAATACATTTTTGTGGACATCTGTCACAGTCACTGAAGCAATGAAAACATCCCCCTCCCACCCCCTAGGAATAAACAAAGATTTAGAGAAACAGATATCTCGAAGGCTGATAAAGACAATATGATAATTGAACATAGCATTAAGTCAGCACAGTACGATATTCTGACTGCACTGCAGTTAGCAAAGATTTTTTATAATAATCAATTTTTTTTTGCTCGTATTTGTAATAATATACTACGATGAAAAAATATTCCAAAAAAAGGGGGGGATGCAACAAAAATTGTCCAGATTTTTACTTCAGTTAGCTAGCAAGTATATGCAGATCAAAGCTTGTAAAGGTATTTAATGCAAGCATGGGCCGAATAAAAGTGCCCTCGGCAAACCACGTCGATTTAAATACAATAAAACATGATGGTAATCTCGCATAAGCTGATTAAAATGAGTCTGATTAGAAAAGAAAAAAAGGATCGATCTTAAGGACTTCAAAGATAATGCCCAATGAGAACAAACGAAAAATTAATGTGTTTAAAAGGTTGGGAGTTTTTTCCTCCCTTATGATACATAACGGCGTCGACATACGACCGATTAACAGTACTTGAAGACCTTTTTGCTTTCCGAATCCTTTTGAATCCATCTCTATGCGCTGCAGGGGAGAAATGGGAGTTGCTAATGTAGCCCAGCGAGAAAATGGCATCACAGAATTGACTGCTACGAATGAGGGCGAGAAGGGGCCGTTATCAAGTTACTTCAGTCGTAGCAGTTGCGTATAGGGGGACGAGGCGGGAACACAGACGGACAAGATGCGAATGAATAGATGTCAAAGCTTGTCCCCTTTGCTTTCCTCATCCATAAGTCATAGGTTATCATGCCAGAGAGACAGTACTCTTCTCAAGGGAGTTTTGGGAATGGCTGTTGTGGGAGGGGGTAAATAAATGCATATATCTATACAAGCACATATAAGCACAAGGGGGAAAAAATTAAAAGAAAAAAGCGCTCGGCTCCCAAATGGAGCGGCAAATTTATCCGCTCTTTAAAGAGCATCTAAAATCAATAGCTAAAGCCCTCAAAACACATTACTGCAGCAGAAGAGCGGGAGCTAGACTGATCTTATTTCATTTAAGACTAACTCTCGCGAGAGCGGCGCATCTAACAAGTAACTCGTCTCCCGGAGAGGGAGATAGATTTAGATGGGGAGGACCAAGCAGGAAAAGAGAAGGAACATGAGGCAGGGGGGAATCTATTCCTAAAAGGGCTCCCGAACCGCAATTT